CAGCGAAAAGGAAGGTGCTGCAGAGACCAACAGTCCCGACTGACTAAGTAACTTGGAGCTTTAGCCGTTTCCCTCAGCAAACAAACCTAAATGAGGCAGCACTGTTCCCCTGCACTTTTCAAGGCCGGGCAGTCTTTCCTGTGCCTTTCTCCACGGTGGTTCCCAGAGGCCTTCAGAAGCCTGAGCGTCACTAATACTGCACCGAAGAGGCTGGGAATGGGGGTGCACACTTGTAACCCCAGATCTTTGGAGATAAAAGCAAGAGTATCTTGAGTTTGCGGCCAGCCTGGGCTACGTAGGAAGACCCTGCCAAAAACAAAAATAAAAAAATCCAACCAGTACTTCACACCCAACACATGTGCTCAGGGTGCATCTCAGTGGTAGATGACTCACTTCGTGTGCATGAGACCACACGTATAACACGTAGCCCTGTAAAGATAAGCCAGCAGTGACGTCAAAGTACAGCGATGGGCCATCCGCCCTCAACCAGCAGCAGCTGGAGGAGAACTGGCTGAAATGTTGGCAAATACAGCTGTCACTGTTGCAGACTGCTTTCCATCCAGCAACCCGAAGACATCTCCCAAGCATTATGCTCCTCTAAGTCAGAACAGCCCCACTTTATAAGTGGGTAGTCTGAGACACACCAAGGTCATAGTTTCATGGCAAGATAAAAACCAGACTTTAAGTCAGCCCCCTTTCTGTGCATACATGTGCGCATTCACTCAAACCCTGAAGACTTGATTAACACTCCGTCAGGATGACGTTTACTAAGTGGTGGAGCCCTAGCACTCCAGTAAGAACCCCAGCTAGCTCCGGCAGAGGGAAGGCTTTTCAGCTGCCCATTTGGAAATGACAGGAAGCACCCATTAAATCCTACAAACCCCAGGAGCCAGGAGGTCTGAGGCATTTAAATCTCAGTATGACCATTCAACACATTTCTCTGCCTGTTGTGCCCCCCCCCAAAGAGGAGTGGCTCTTGCCCCTGCTGCTGGGTAGCTTTAAAAGGCTGTCCTCTGCCTCTGCAACCTGATGCTCACAAGCTGACACCCTGTCCTGTCACTTGAGATCAGAAGTCATTTCTTCAGAACCAAAGCCTCGTGTCCACTCTCAGTTTCAGGATGTCCCCAACCAAACATAAAGAGCACCCATGGCAAAGCCCAGAGGTCAGTCAGCTGGGCAGATGGAATTACACACCACACGCTTGCTCTGGGAGGGAGTGTCCCAGGAGGCTATCCTGGGTCCTTCCTTTCAGAGCTCAACCAAACCCACAAATGCTCTTGGTGATCCAAGCCACACAAATGGTTCGTGGCCAGGACTCAGAAGAGCCTGAGTATGCCTGACCTTATGACTCAGTGGGCTCAAATGCTGACTGGCTCCCTTACAGGCTTGGTACTCTTAACGAGCGCCTTTCTCATTAGGCTGAAGACAGAACGAAACAGCACATGTAGTGCTTGGACACCAGCCTGACCAGCCAGGGAGGGCTCAGTCCATGTGGGTCATGATTAGCAAAGCCATGTACGGAGAGAAAGGAGACACATGCTGTGCATGCTGCTGTTTTATTTCACTTTGAGACAATGTCTCACACTGTAGCCAGTCTGGCCTCACAATTCTCCTGCCTTAGCCTCCCAAGTATTGGAACTATAAGAGTGAGACATCACAATGTAGCCCAGACTGGCCACAAACTTGACGTTCTCCCACCTCAACCTCACAAGTGCCAGACTCCAGGAATCCGCACCCATACCCAACTTAATAGGATTAAAAAAAAGAAATCTCTGTTCAGTATTAGATACACTTAGTGACTGCTACAAAAACATACCAACAAGAACACCAATGCCAATACTCCCTGGGAATGGGGGCAGCCTCATACTTAAGGTCAAGGCTGCCACCTAGTAATTCAGGAGCTCAGTCATTCAGGGGCCACCACGGAGGTGTAAACAAGGTGATTCACCTTTGGAAAAGGATGCCATCATATAAGAAGCTTCTGCTTATCTGTAAGTCATCTTTGCAGCCAGAAGAGACCACTGAAGCACGCACGCATGCACGCATGCACGCATGCACGCAGGCACACACACCTCACATTTCAGGAAAGAAAATAGAAGGAAGAAGCTGATGAGACATCCTGACTTGGTGAGTCAGGAAACGCTCCCATCTGCCTCTCAAGAGACAAAGGAAGCACCCCTCTAACTGCTAAGGCAGTAGGAGCAAAATGAAGACAGACATTTGATAAATATTACTTGGCATAACCTGATTTGAAGCAGAAGGTGTGTGTGTGTGTGTGTGTGTGTGTGTGTGTGTGTGTGTGTGTGTGTGTATGTGTGTGTGTTTCGTTTCTTATGTAGCACAGACAGACCTAGAATTCGTCATTGGCCCAAACTTGAATTCATGGAGATCTTCTAAATACTGTGTTGACAGACATGCATCCACACTCCTGGCTGCACCTTTGTCTGTAGTACTATGGGGATAGTACTACCAAGTACGATCTTAGAAGAGGGGTCACCCAAGACAGAAAGGATGAACAGTACCACTGCCAATAAGGACAACCTTTGAAAATTAAAGCTTAAGCAGGGCTGTGGTGGCACTTGGGAGGCAGAGGCAGGCGGATCTCTGTAAGTTTGAAGCTAGTCTGCCCTACAGAGCAAGTTCTAGGACAGCCAGGGCTACACAGAAAACCCTGCCTCAAAAAAAAAAAAAGAAAGAAAAAAAATCCCAGACAGAGGTCCATCACCAGGTCAATCCTCTAAACACATAATTTCTCCCAGTCACTCGCCAGCTCAAAGGAGTGAACACCTCTCAGGTCCTGCAGCCCACTCGCCTTTCCACTCTTGTTTTGCCACAGGCCAGAGTGCCTCCCTCATTTGTTTCAGGAGGGACAAAGGCCGTCACGTCAGCCCAGCGACCAAGCAGCACCTACCACATAGTACCTGGCACATGGTAGTTGTTCAGTAAATGTTTGCCAAGTCTACAAACACAGGAATGCCTTTAGCCCTGCACTCAGTGCCTCACTCTGGGCGAGATCCCTTTCCCACCGCCCGTCAACAGTCAGCTCTAAAAGCCCATCCAGGCCTTGTGTGCCCAGCACCCAGCAATCTGCCCATAGCATCCGCCTCCCAGCCTCAGTTCCTACAGGACCCGGTTTCTCCAGATCTCCACTCGCATCTAAACATCTCCTGTTAGTGTGCTCTATCTGCCCCACTCACAGGCAGGGCTGTGAAGAGAGAATTTTCAGAGGCAGCGAGAGGCAATGGAAAGAACTGGTTTTTAATAAGGAGGACCTCCTCATGAGATGGTAAGAAAAGCTTATGCAAAACACCCGGAAAGGGGCCTGGGGCCTAGTACACAGTTCCTGTGTGCCAGCTGCTACCATTACTCAACTTTCAGAACCGCAGGCCTCTCACTGAGGAAATGAGAGTGATGGAAGTCCTGGGACAGGCAGACACGGTGGCTTAGACTTGTACTCCTGCGATCAGGAAGCCAAAGCAGAGAGATTGCCATAAGTTCTAGACCACATAGTAAGTTCTAGAACAGTCTGATCTACCAAGTGAAACAGTCTTTAAAAAATCCACACCTTTAATCCCAACACTGTAGAGGCAGAGGCAGGTGCAGTATCAGCAAGTTTGAGACCAACCCAGTCTACATAATGAATTCTAGGACAGCCAGAGAATAATAGTGACCATGTCTCAAAAAACCAGTAAGATAAAATATTCCTCTGAGGGCTTGAGAGATGGCTCAGAGGTTAAGAGCACTGGCTGCTCTTCCAGAGGACCTGAGTTCAATTCCCAGCAACCACATGGTGGCTCACAACCATCTGCAATGAGATTGGATGCCCTCTTCTGGCCTAAAGGCATATGTGCAGGCAGAACACTGAATATAAAATAAATAAATAAATACATCTTTAAAAAAAATATTCCTCTGAGGGCTAAAGACGTAGCACTTACCTATCATGGGTAGGGCCATAGAGGAGATCTCTGGCCCTCAGAAGCAGTGAGTCCTGGAGCCTCCTTAGCATATAGAGGCCGCTCAAGAACACTGGGCAGCTATTTGTGTGTTTTCAAGACTTATTTATTTTAAGTATTAGTGTTTTGCCTTAGGATATGTCAGTATGAGGGTGTCAAGTCCCCTGGAACCGAAATTGCACACAGCTGTGAGCAGCCATGTAGGTGCTGGGAATTGAACCTGGGTCCTTTGGAAGAACAGCAGCTGTTCTTACAACAAACACCTCCTGCAGGCGCGGAGATGAAAGTCTACAGAGCCGGCTGCAGTGGCTGAAGCTACCGTCCTCGTAGCTCAGGGCTGAGAGACAGCACAAGGTCTGAGGAATGAGCCGTATTCTAGTATTCTAGCCTAGTGTCGTGGTGACCCCCAGCCGTGAAATTATTTCCACTGCTACCTCAGAACTGTAGCTTTGCTACTGCTATGAGTCGTAATGTAAACATCTGATTGTAGCCTAAGATGGCCTTTAAAACACAGCAATTCTCTTGCCTCAGCTTCACGTGCTGGCATCACCTGTGTGCGACTCAAAAACAGGGAAACTTCCTTCTTTCACTCCACAAATATTGACCGAGGCTTATCACTTTGTATCTGCTTTACTCTGCTTTACGCTGGGTCTAGTATGCAACAGTAAGCGTAGTCCTTGTTTTCTACAAGAGGAAGGCAGCTAATAAACAGAGAACGTGACAAACAAGAACGTGACAAACAAATAGTAACTGGCTGCTAAGTGCCACCAGGAGGGACAGGAGGGACACAAGCGAGGACAAGCGAGGGCACTCACTGGTCAGCTGTTTGGGAAAAGTGAGAATCCTCAGCAAAGCTCCAAGCTCTGAGACTGCCACCCCACTCCCCTCCCCTCCCCCCCAGACCGCAACAGCTTGTCTTGGGTTTCCCCCAGCTTAGTCTCCCCCCCCCACCCCCGCACCAACAAACTTGTTTTTCACAGGGCTGTTGGAACTGGTCTCTTGAGCCCCAAGCTTCACTCATAGTCAGGGAAAAGATTATACCCCTACCGCCACTGGCCTGTTCCCCAGGAAGTTCAGGTCGCTGTTCTCTCCAAACAGGTACCCTTCCGGATGCGTGGAGTCAAACTTCTCTCCTCCCATGATGAAGTGGCTGGCGAAATAGCTGCCTAGAGAGTGACAAACACGAAGAATCAGACAAGCAGATGCTGTCAGACTGGACGGAGCACAAAATGCTGTAAAAAAGAGGTTAAGACTTCAAACAAAGAATCAGATCGATTTCTTCTCCTGATTTCAGACCCTGGCACAAAATCAGCAAAAACACATTGGACAGCCCCAGCGACAAACAAAAGAGGTCACTACTGTTCTTGCAACAAGCTTGAGTCTGGCAAGAAAGTCCACGAATTGCCCATGAATGAACTCATTGCTACTGATTGTGTGTGTGTATACTGTGTGTGTGTGGGTGTGGATGTGGGTGTATACTATGTGTGTGTGTGTGGGGTAATACTACGTGTGTGGGGGGTAATACTACGTGTGAGGGAAGGTAGGTGTACACCATACGTGGAGGATATACATTGTTGGGGGTATATACTGTATGTGTATGGATGTGGGTAGCGTGGGTAGCGTGTGTGCATGCGTGCATGCATGTAGTGCCAGAGGTCAGTATCATTGGGACCTGCAGCTCACCACCAGCCAGACTAGCTGGCTGGTCACCAGATCCAAAGATTCATCTGTTTCTACCTTCCCATGGCTCTACAGGCAGATCACACTCAGTTTTTACCATGGGTTCAAGAGATTGAACTATAGGGCCTCATGCTCACACAGCAAGCACTTTACCAACTGAGCTGGCTCCCTGGGCCCTACTTGCCTTTGTTTTTGTTTGAGACAGGGACTCACTCTGTGTAGCTCACTATGTAGGTCAGGCTGCTCTTGAACTCAGAGATCCGTGTGCACATGCCTCCTAAGTGCGGGGACTAAATGCCTGCACCACTGCCACAAGCCCCAGGTTTGTCTTTTGAGACAGAGTTCTACTCTGTGTACCCATGCAGACCTGGAACTCATGACCTTCCTCTCAACTTCCCACGTGCCAGGATTGCAGGCGTGCACTACCAGGCTCAGTCTGGTCCTCATTTGCCCGCTTCACCTTGAAGTGGTTCCTGAGCACTTGAGAATCTTTTTTTTTTTTCCCCGAGACAGGGTTTCTCTGTGACTTTGGAGGTTGTTCTGGAACTAGCTCTTGTAGACCAGGCTGGTCTCAAACTCACATATATCCTCCTGCCTCTGCTTCCTGAGTACTGGGATTAAAGGAGTGAGCCACCACTGCCCGGCTGCACTTGAGAACCTTAACTGTAGGTGTCAATCATATTTATACACACAAGTCATCTTTGCCTGGTCTTTTAACCCGCACACAGACGTCTCAGCACCTGTCCATCCGCACCTTTATTCCTCCATAATCCCTCCAGTGAAGGCTCTTCACACTCACACTGCACAAGGGAGGCAGCTGGCAGGCCTTGAGGGTGTGCACCTGCAATGCTAGCACTTGGGAGACTAAGGCATAAGGACCTAAAGTTCAAGGCCAGCCTGGGTTACAAAGTGAGAGCCTCAACAGTCAACACAAGAAGCTTAGGGACACTGGTAAGCATCTACTACTGCAGTGGTTCTCAGCCAGTGAGTCACGATCCCTTGGTGTCAAAGGACCCTTTCACCAGAGACCATCAGAAGGACAGATATTTGCATTACAATTTGTAATAGTAGCAGAATTACAGTGAGGAAGTAGCAACAAAAATAAATTTATGGTTGGGGGTCACCACAACACGCAGCATTGGGAAGGTTGAGAACCTCTGATCTAGTTGCATATTTTAACTTTGATATGGACACAAATTCCTCTTACTTCAAATTTCTTGGATTTTTGTTTGTTTTGGAGGGGTGCTTTTGAGACAGGGTCTCATGTAGCTTAAGATGGCTTCAAACTTGCTAAAGTAGCTGAGGCTGGCCTTGAACTCTTGCCTCTGCACCCTGAACTCTCAAATGTCTCTAGCCTGACTCTAAGGCAGGCTATCCAAAGCAAGACTTCACACCTTAGAACACCGTGTCAGTTCTCTCAAACACCCTGCTCTCAGGTGAACACAGAGACGTGATGGAACCACACAGCCTTGTGTGGGACACAGCTAAACCCCAGCTGTGACTTTCGATATTTTCCAGCAAGCTGAAAAGCTGTGTTTTAACATTTTTGGCTATGGAGAAGCCACAGGAAGGGGAAGGGAGAAGACAGCTGTAACAGAAAAAAAAAAAACAAAAACGGAACTGGATATTCAGATTTTACTTTCTAGACATGGAGCTTTAGTCCAGAGACACCTATAAACCCAACATGTGGCTAAGATCACTCACCAGGGCATGATCAGGGAAGCATGTTCAGGGAGCAGCTGTGTCTCAATCAAAGCAAGCCTGAGCTGCAGCTTGAAGGAGCCAGCTGAGCCTGGAGACGCAGCCGCTGGCTGCAGTGAGGCTGCATGCAGTGCACCCGGGACGCATCACTATCCCTTATTCATGCCACACACTTGCTGGCCCCATCTCCCAAGTGCATAATTGATACAGCAGAGGGGCCTGGTTGCCTTCAGTAGAAGACAGCCTTCTCAAATAAACAGAGCCATTACTGTTGCCTCTGAGCGAGAAGCATTCCATATACATCAGGGATTGTATATTTCTTAGACATTAGGCAAAATTAGAAAAAGAAGATTCTGCCAGGTGGTGGTGGCGCTCGCCTTTAATCCCAGCACTCAGGAGGCAGAGGCAGGTGGATCTCTGTAAGTTTGAGACCAGCCTGGTCTACAGGGCGAGCTCCAGGAGGAATGTGAGGCAAGAGGTCACTGGGGGTTGATTGATTGGCTTACAGAGGTGGAGGCAGGTGGATCTCTGTTGAGTTTGAGACTGATCTAATTGACAGAGCAAGTTCCAGGGCAGTCAGAACTACACAGAGAAAACCTGTCTCAAAAAACAAGCAAACGAACAAACAAAAAAATCTTTCTAACACAATTTAGTTCCTCTCACTTTTGGCTTTTTCCTATATGCCATTTGTTTTTGTTCTGTTTGTTTTTGAAACAATATGTCATTTGTGTTCCTCATGATGGCTTTGAACTGGTAAGTAGCCCAGGCTGGTCTCAAACTCTCCACCTTCCAATTACCACTGTAAAACACTGGGGTGATAGGTGGATGCATTCATGTTTGTGTGGACCCCACAGCTGGCCCACCTGCCAAGTTTCACTTCTCAGTAGCAGTCTAGGAAGACTTTCTGCCAAACTGACTAAGCCGTCCGTCAGTCTCTTAGTCTCTCACAGACATTCCCAGTCTCCAGGCCGTCATGAATGCTCTTCTCTACACTGGCCTTCTCGAGACTCTGAAACCAGCTTTTAAAGTCTACTCTCCATGCCATTTGCTCACTATAATTCCATCCTGTTAGAGATCAAGATCTTTATTTTATTAAAAATGGCTAACGGCTTTACTGAGGAGTAACACACCCAATACAGAATCCATGCCCTGTACGACTTGGTAGTTTTGGTAACCATCACCATGAGTCTAGCTGAGAACATTTCCCGCCCTCCATAATATTCCAGTATGCCTGGCACAGTTCCCACGGCCTCTCCAGGCATGGTGGCTCACACCTTTGCTTACCCACAGTTCTATTCCTGTGCAGAGACGGCATGGCAACTCTTATAAAAGAAAGCATTTAATCAAGGGCTTGCTTACAGTTCAGAGGGTTACTCCATTATTATCGAGGTGGGAAACAGGAGGTATGGCTCTGGGGCAGCAGCTGAGAACTTTGCATGCTGATAAGCAGCAAGCAGAGAGAGATACTGGGCCTGGCAAAGGTGTTTAAACCTCACATTCCCAGTGACACGCCTCCTCCCACAAAGCCTTGCCTTCAAATCCTTCCCAAGCAGCCCAACACTGATTGACTAAGCATTCAAACATATGAGGCTGTGAGGGTTATTCTCATTCAGACCACCACACCCTGTAATCCCAGCTCTCTGGAGGCTGAGGCAGGAGGACTGCTCCAATCTCAAGGCTAGCTTTCGGCACACAGTTAAGTACCAGGTCATTTGGGATTATCTAGGAAGACCTTGTTTCAAAAAATAAAAACTGGGGCTGGAGAGATGGCTCAGAGGTTAAGAGCACTGACTGCTCTTCCAGAGGCCTTGAGTTCAATTCCCAGCAACCACATGGTGGCTCACAACCATCTACAATTCAATCTGGTGTATATGTAATAAATAAATAAATCTTTAAAAAAACTGCTTCCCAAGTGCTAGGATTAGAGCTGTGTGTGATGGCACTTGGCAGTGGTCCATGGTCTGCTAGGGTTCTGTTTATTTAGTTTGAGACAGAATTTCACTATGTAGTCCTGGCTGCTCTGAAATTCACAGATATGGGCCTGCTTCTGCCTCCAGCTAGTCCTCCCATTCTTAATGTAGCTCAACAACAAAGCTCAATAAATTTATTGTGGCCACACAGCTGGAGGATGCCTGCATTGGGATAAAATTTTGCTCTGTTTTTTTTGTTTGTTTGTTTTTGTTTTGGCTCAGTATTTATTATGCCTAGTCCAGTATCAAATATATACTAAGTACTTCCTAAACAAAGTTGATGACAATTTATTGTTTTTTTAAATAAATAGGTCTTTTGGCTTAGATTAAAGTTGAAAAATTATCATTCTGAATTCCAAATATTATTTATTACATCATATTAATGTATAGTTGAAAATACATGCCAGGATTCATTGAATATAAGACTCTACTTAACCTTTTAAAGTTATATGTACACTCATGCAGAAACATCTAAACATTAAAAGAAATTTAAGATAGGAAGTCAGAGCTGAAGAATAGGCAACTACTTGAACCATTAGAAGTTTGAAATTATACATGCATGCAAATGTAAATGTAACTTCAAAGTGGGTGTTGTTATTGCCTACTACAATTTCACTTTCATCAGATTGTTAGCTTTGCATAAAGACTATGAAAAGTAACATTTATTAATTTATGATGGCACTATTCTTTTTTTTATTTATTTTTTTTATTTTCCAGTTTAAATTTAGATAAGAAACAAGGTTGCTTCACAAGTCAGTTCCAGGTCCCTCTCCCTTTCCCTCCCCTCCTCCCGTGCCCTCCCCCCAATTTTGCTC